TCATAAAATGGCCATTTACTTGTTGTGCTTGTTCCAAGAAGACCCATTCTGCTCTGTGGGCCTTGAAAATACAACTTGTTCTTCTCATAGGCCCCACAGAATGTGCATAGACTCTAGGATCTGCAGCTATGGGAGTTTAGAGTGACTAGAGAAGGCTAGAGTTTTTCAGAGGCAAAAATATCAGCAGTCATCAATATAGAAAAAACAAAAAAACAAAAAGCCTTTCACTTGGTTAGGTTAAAAATGTTCTATTGGATTCTGTAAACAAACATCAAAAGGTAAAAGAAAATATATAGGGTTAAAAAAACAATTGTAATGCGTAACAAAACCGTCTTACAGGAACAGAAGAATTTCCACTTGAGTCAGTTTGAAACTTCCTGTAGGTTTTTTTTAAACAGCTACACTTCAAACAAACAGGTCTTTTTTTTTTTTTTTTGAAACTTCATGCAGGAAGAAGCTTATTTTTCAGTGCATATTCAGCTGTTGCAGAGGTTTGTGCTATTGGCTTTAAAGAAACGTGCAGAACGGGCTTACAGAAGTTTCCTATAGGAGTATGCTCACTGACTTCTGAGACAGAAATGAAGATGTGGACAGCTTTGTGTGTGGCCATGTACTTTCTGGGAGCAAGTAAGGAAACAGTTGAGCCATTTTATCTGTTCTGCTGCTGAGAGAACGTAGCTCATTCATTTTATTGTGTTTATTTCTTTTACTTTGTCTCATAGGAGCTAAAATCACCCAAACCTCAGGTCTGGTACTGAAAGAAGATGAGAAAGCTACTCTGACATGTGTTCAGGATGATAATCACAATTACATGTCCTGGTATCTACAGCAGCCAGGGAAGGGGCTGCAACTGGTCTATTACTCCATTGGTGTAAATCAGGGGCAAGAGGGTGATATTCACAGTGGATACAGAGCTAAACGGTTAAATCTCACAGACTTCTATTTGGATATTGTATCTGCGAAGATGAACCATTCAGCTATCTATTTCTGTGCCAGCAGTTTGGACACAACACTCCAAAGTCACTTACTTTCTTTACATAAACCTCTCTCCCTCCTAGCACCTTCCCTCAGAAGAGAGTATATCTCAGTGCAGGAAAAGGGTATGCAGGCTAACAGCCTATCACAAACCAGATATTGCTGAGGAGTTGGAGCAAGAGAGGCAAAGTAGGCTCTTGAATTGAGAGTTATTTGCTGATTCCCTGTTTCCTGAGCAGTCACACACCTCATCAGAACAATTATTACAGATGGATAATCAAATACTGACATAATGGAAATGGAAACTACAATCTCCACGTAACAAGTGGTTCCCCCCAAAACCATTTGCTTACCTGATATAGAACAGTTAATTGAAATATACATGTGTGTAAGTCTGAAATACTTTGGAAGCAGTGACTTGTATGTGTGCTCTCAGTCCTGTTTAAATGCTACCAAACAGTGAAAGCTACAACACTTTTCACTGAATGTGGAAAGGTTACCCAATCACAAGAAATCAATGCATTTATAAAACTCAGAAATCTATCAACAATAATGAGAGGAGACCTGTAGAAAAGATGACAAAAGGAAAATAAAAAACAAAAACCAAAAAACTCCACCTTATTAGAGCTAAGATTCTACAGATTGACTTAAAATAACAAAACAGCAGCCATTACCCTGATCTGCGAGTGTATAGCCACAGTCCTGATAAGTTACATGTGTACGAAGGAAATAAAGAGCAAAACAAGATGGTATAAAGTAGTATGCAGCTCAAGAACAATAAACAACAATTCAAGAAAAATAACATGTAGATTTCAATTTTTTCAGAAATTGCTCTGACCATCCAGTTTACTTCTGGCTATATAATGAGGCACGTACCACCATGAATCATATCTGTCTCTGTATGCCTCCTACTCAGACCTCCCTCACGGCTTGATAGACAACAGCGTGGTCTATATTAATTTGATTTATTCCTTCTTTCTATGGATGAGTTCTTGCATTGCTTATCCTAGGTACCTTCGTGATGTTCATCTTTCAAAGTCCCCAAGTTCTTTTTGACTTTGAGCTAAGCCCTAATATGAACGTTGCCCCAGAGAGTATCCATACTATGAGGACAAAAATAATAGAGGGATGAACAAGCAGGATGTGAATGTAATTGTATTTATTTACTGCATTATCTCTCCATCATGAAATATTTCAGACTCATCATGAAGAGTCTTATGTCTCTCACACCAAGACCTGCCAGTGTGTTTTCAGTTAAGGGGCCTAAAGCACCACCATTATCCTAAGTAGTATCATTGATGCAGTGGGATTAGTCATAGCATGAGGTACTCTTCAGTGTAAGCATGATGTATATAACAAATTGTCCTAAATTCTAACAAAGTAAGAAAGCACCAAATAAAGTATTTGTGACACAGTATAAAGGTCACTAGTGTAATCTGATATGTCTGAAAAAAACAAGAAGAATATCTGTTTCCAACAAGTCAGAAGTTTTTGGGAAGGTTTAAAGGAAGGGTGACCGTTAATATCCACATTTTGCGATTATTCTTATCTCTATATGAAATATGCCAAATGATATTGTAAGTGCTGTAGGGCAAAGAAGTATCTGTCAAACATAATATTAAGCACAGCTTTCACTCTGTTTTACCAAACTTGCATGATGATCTTGCTAAACTTCTAGTGAAAATTTCAAGCTTGATTATCAGGCAGCACTTCTGCGTTGGGAAAAGATCTATTGGATTACAAGAACATCCTTCGGGTAAAAGACGAAAGAACATTTATCTGAGTCATTTAAATACCAACTGACTGGTCAGGGAGCAGCTTTGCAGTAAATAACCTGGAGGACTTCGTGCTCAGCAACTGAACAGGGGCAAGCAGCAAGCCTTTTTAGCAATGAAAGTTAACTACATTTTGGGTTACATTAGGAAGAATGTAGTTAGCAGGCTGAACCATTTGTGAGGCTGTATATGGAATACTGTCTTAAATTTCCACACTTTTCTACCCTAAGCAGTGCCCGAGTCTTAGAGGAGCACAATGAAAAGATGATGATAAAAAGCTGCAGCAAAGGCAATTCTGACTAGATATGAGCTAAAAATGCTTCCCTTAGGGTAGTTCAGCCTTGGAACAGGGGCTTGGAGAGGCGGTCAAGTCTCTTCCCTTGAAGATATGAGGTTGTCTGGACAAGCCAAGGAGGAACATGATCTGGCTTTGGACTCAGCTCTACTTTGAGCAGGAATTTGGATCTACAGACCACCTGAAGTTCCCTCCCATCTACATTTTTCTATGAGTCTATGATTTTTGTCATCTTCCTTTTTTCCTTTGAGAAACCTAGAAAAAATATATATGTTTTTTGAAAGCAGGTCAGCAACCTACAAAAACCCACAAGCCTAATTTTTTGTGTGTGACACAACAGAAGCAGCAGCTGCACATGCAGAAACCACCTGCAGACTTTAGAAACAAGAAGATTATGCGATAACATGAGACAAAAAACCCCCACCAGCTTTCACCAGCATAAATGTGTCACTACTTCTGTCCAACCATGATGCAGTGTGCAGATAGCTGTTCCCCGTGCCTCATTCTGGGCAGCTAGGATAGTGCTGTGGTAAGAGATGCTGACGAGTTTTCAAAATGTTTTTTTGAGTAAATGTCAAACCGCATCCTGTTTTGGCTAAACTCAACTGTTGTTCTTGTAAAGAGATATTTTCAAGCATATTTAGGCATGTCATGCGCCCTGCTCCTGAGGTACCATTTTCTGCTGAGACCTTCAGAGATATTTCCCCCTTCTGTTGCAGACTCCGGTTATTCTAGCCAAAGATTTGCCTCACTCTATTTCTCTTATTCATTCTCCCTTGCTATTCCACTCCCAAATATCCTGCTTCCAATGCTCCACCAGTGCTCCTGTATCTTGGCCTGCACTATTTCTACCTTTGTTTAGGATACATCTCTACATACAAGGTATACTCCTGCTGTCTTCGTTTCCTACTGAGTGAACTGCCTCTGAATCACCAGTTGTTCAGCTTGTACCACAAGGCATTAGTTTAATGAGGTACAAAGAGGATGAATGATCTCCAGAAACACTCTTCAGGATTAGTAATCCCTTTGCTTTACTGTTTATGTTGGGCAGAAATCCCCTTGATGTGTATTTTCCTTTTAAGGATATCTGCTACAACTCTTTTCAGTTTTTACTTTAGTATCCCCTCTTCCTCCCTCCTGCCATCTATTTAAAAAGTGATCGACTAGAACAACCACTTTCCAAGTAAAAACAATCTCATATCTTTGAGCAGTATCTCCTTTTATTTTTCTGTTCTCCCCATTCTTTCCCATGGGTACATAGCGTATCAGTAGGTAGCACAGTACTTCTATTTGGTTTGCACAGTACTATCTAGCACGGGCCATACTACTTTAACTGTTTACAAGCCCAAATACTGTTCAGGAAGGGGAGTGGACAATCATATCTATCTTTTGAATATAGCGCTTGCTTATTTTCATTATTTGTTGCATTGTCTGCCAAATTCAAGAGCATAAGTAGCTCTCAGGTAGTCCTTTTATTTTTTTCGACCTGCAGAGAACTGTATGTAGCAATGGTGCAGGAAGGTCAAGCTTTTTAATCTGGCTTTCTACTTGGCCCAAAATGGGTGACTAAATGAGCTAGAGCAGGAAGTTTCCTACATCAGAAGATAGAAGCAGAAATTGATGCACAGAGTTCACATGGTATAATATGCAGACTTCCTCTTATAATGTCTAGGTAATTTAAGTGCATCAGGAAAACCTGGGCTTGAGTGCCAGATTTTCAGCTCTAGAAGCACAGGTGTATTTAATTTCCATATTAGCAGGAAGCAGCGTTAAGCATTTTAATCCAGTGCTAGTCCAACAACCAGAGACTACCTTTGTTCACTTGTATATTCTCCCAAAAGCCAATTTGGATCATTCAGTTCTTGGAGAACTGCAGGAGTCAGGGTAATATTTGTGTTATGTTATCATGGCTGATAAAGGAAAAAACAAAGAACTTTATTAAGGAAGGTATTTTATTAAAAGCTGGTTTTTAAAACAAGCAAATGTGGTTTCCCACATTTGTCAGAATAAAAGACTGGTTTCTGAAGCAAGTCAGTACTTGGGTACAAAGACCAGAAGCTTTCCACTTGCAGCATATCTCTGTCCTCTTCTTCAGGCCTGATCTTTCACAGCAAAGCACATCTAGTACATTTTCTAAAGACAGAAGAAAAAACAGGTGGTTAAGGATGGGCCACTTGAGAAATACTGAGGTCTAGGTAATGATCTGAGGAAGGAAAGTAACGAACAATCTAGTTTCAATTCTTATTATAGGTGAAGGACTTTTAGATTCATTTGCAACAAAAACATTAAAGCAATTTAATATATCTAGATATATATATATATTTAGAGGGAAGGGGATTACTTCATTTGGGTTTCAGTAAAAAGAAAGATAGGAAGGTAGGAAGAGATGAAGGGAGGGAAACTGGGAAGGTAAGAGGGAGAGAGAAGAAGGAAGGAAAGAAGAAAGAAAAGGAGGGAAGGAGGAAGGAAAAAAGAAAAGAAAGTGAGAGAAGGATTTTGCTTTTCCTTCCCTTACATTATTATAAATCAAGGGTAACTTAATTTTAATCAATGGGAGTCACTTGGGCAGAAAATGAGTGACAGTGAACATGTAAGTTTAATCACATTTTATTCCTTGAATGGCTATTGATGAAGAGAAAGATGCTATACGTCTTTTCTGTTTTGAATGTCTCAGATTCCTATAGCTACAAACTCAATTTATGGTAGTGGGATTTGGTACTGCTTACTCAGCTGACATGTCTGCAAAGTGCAAATAAATTTTTATTTTTTCATTCATTCAGTCACACCTCAAAAGAAATGAAGTGGTCTCTATCCAGCCCTGCACTGAAGCTTCATATGTGAATAGCAAAAAATCCCCATTAGCTCAGAAGATAATAAATGTTATTGATAAAGAAATAAATGCTGCCCACAAATGCAACCTTAAAGAAATAGTCTCCTTTATATCCTCTCCCTCCTCTTCCCTGACAGTTTACATTCTCTTCCCTTTTTCTGAGTTGCAGCCTTTTTACTTTCCTCCTTTGCTTCTCTTGGTCTTTCTTATTTTTTTTCTGTATTGTCCCTCCTCCTTCTCCCTCTCTTCTTTAAAGAAACCATACTTTTCTGTGATATTTCGTTCTTTATCTTGTGCAATATCTACCTGGCATTCTTTCTCTCTTTCTTTTTGTCTAAAGCCCTTGCCTTCATCCTCATTATGTTGTTCTCTTGAAAATGATGAGACACACAATATAATTTTTAGAGGGGTGCGTTTGTATAAACAGTAATGGAAGACCTCATTTTGTCCACACTGGTCTCCAGTACAGTTAGAATGAATTAGGACAAAGCTGTACAAAAAAGAAGAAGAACTTTGTTCCTCACCTTGGACCTCAGCATCAGCCCAATCACAAACATCCCGTACAAAATGCTCTTGAAAATGAGCATGATGTACACAATCTTCCCAGCAATAGCACTTCTCTGATAGTTTTCTGAAAAGTAAGGGAGGAAAACAATAAAGAAAAACTTACAGAAAAAAAAGGCGTTTCTTTAGAAAACTTATCCTAAGCAAGGAGATTTTTTTCATCCTGCTGTTTAGAACAACTAGCGCAATGGCGATATGTGAAATGCACGGAGTGTTTTGTGAGAGTAGACAGTAGTTGGATGTTCACACCCATGTGTGTGTATGCAATTAGCCCTGAATGTATGGGTCCACACATGTACAATCTTGCACCTGTGCACACAGGCTTGAATAGCTGTGCCTTCCAGTAAAAAAACCCTACGGGACATGTTTACACACATGTACACAAAATGCATCTCTGTTCACACACATGTGCACACAGATAAACAAACTCACTGATTTCAAGAGAGGAAAAGTTCAATAGTTCAACTTACCTTTGAAGATAAAACAACCTGAAAAGAGAAGGAAAGAAATCAGAGTTATTATCTGAGCCCACACATGTTATCAGCTCCTCTTCTAAAAAGCTCTGTTTGTGCAATCACTTGTATAATTAAGAATGTGGAAATGAGAATTACGGTTCTCTTCTCTCTTTGGAGAAGAACAGGATTGGATTCCTATGCTTGATTTTGTTTTCCAGGGACTGACAGATCTGAGTTAAGTGTAGTAGGCTGGCAGGAAATCTGCCTTCAGTTCTGACTGCTTGCTCTAGGGACAGAAACTTTCAGATAATGACTTCCCCCCTACACCCATATATATTCATTTTGTTTACTCACCAGCATCGCCAGAGATGAATTTTTGTATCACTTCCAGTGTCTCATTCTTAAAGAATGTGGCAACACATTCAAAACGATTCAAAGGGTTGAACCATTCCTGGGCTGAGATCCTCAGTCGGCTGGTCAATGAGTAGGTACTCCCATTCCATGTGGAAGACTCGTCTGTCCCCACCCCTTCTGTCCTCTGAGCACCGTTCACCTTCCACTCTAGTTTGAGGTAGTCAGGATAGAAACCAGAGGCCAGGCATACCAGTGTGGCCTTGCTCTTCTGTTGGATCTCTTGCTTTGATGGGGAAAAGATGGCCACAGCTGGTGGTATGATTTCATCATTCTTCTCTGAAATAAAAAGCAGTATGGTCCACAGCCTCTATCGCTTCCTTTACCCTCTTACATCCAAATATAAGGTCGTGTTTTTGTTTGTACGAATATGTATAGGGGAGGCTGGACGCTGAATACCAAGATTCAATGAAACCTTTAGCACTGAGTGTGCAAGATCATGATTTTTAATCTAAAAGACAATTACATTTATATTTTAAATGTAGTACAGTAAATAATATGTTCTAAGTATGTTATTCTATAACAGCCATTTGCCTTAAAATCAATAGGTTACGTATACAGAATCTGGCTCCAGAATTTAACAAATAAAGATGCAGAGCAAGGACAAAACTGTTTTGTTTCTAGATACTTACCAGGTAGCCAAGCTAATTAAAGCTGAGGTGCTAATTGAAACAAAAATTAATTATCCTTTGTTGTCCTAACCTAAACAATGAGCAGTGGGTAAACTGGTTCTCTATGTTTGCCCCCTATTATATCTCTATCTCTCTCTGTGCATGTCTGTCTCCTCAGGCCCTGAGTCAAGTTTTTTCTGAAATGTCTTGGCTTATTTGACCAAGCCAAAACAAATCCTTCATTAGCTGAATTGAACTTTCTAACTGTTGAGCAGTTCTGCTCCTTATTTTGCATTTTTAAACAGAAAAAGAAATATGCAAACAAGCAAACTGCACCTCCTAAACCCAAAATCTTTAACCTACCATGTTTTTGAAAAGAACCAAAAGTGAATATGTTTTCTGTTTAACATAGAAATATAGTAGGGCTTGTTTTCTTACCTAAGGCAGTCAGTTTAGTTCCTGAACAAAAATTATGCTCATACTCAACGCACGAAGACATAATGCCGTCATAAAATTCCCTCCTCTGTCTATTGAGCAAAATATGGATTTAAAATGAGAGGCCTTCATTAACTAATGCCACTTCCATCCTGATTTAAGGCATTAGGAGTTTTTTTGGAGAGAAATAGTTGGACTAGATCCTTGGTGTCTTTTCCTAGTGCCCCCAATCCCACAAAATACAAGTTCATTTGACTATAAAAAAAGCACCTGAGACTTCAATTCTTTTTCTTGTGCCGGCATCTCAGGACTTGTCATCACCATCATTTCCATTAAAACTACCTATTTTTTCCATGCATAAAACCACGACAAAGTGGAAAAGATTGGAGAGCAGAAAAAAGCAAGGTTACATGCTAGTTAATAATTATTCTAGGTCTATTTACCTTTGTCTGAAAATGAATGCTTGAGGTTTTGAGGTTTTGTATGTGCATATGTATGAAGATTTTCCCCGCTAAAGAATTCTTCCATAATATGACCTCTTCAATTCACATTCTTCACCTTTATATTTTCTTATGCCTTCATGGATGACATTATAGAATTATCTCTGCCATCAGCATTTACGGTTTTTCCTGATTTTATTTCTGTCTCATTTGGTTGTCTCCCTCTCCTTTCTTTCCCCATTAGTCTGTTGGGAAGCCAGTATATACTTCTTAAATGTGAATAGCCAAACAGTATGGTAGATAGCTTAGAGAGGTCATGGTAAAAATAACTTTTTAACTACTCCAACTAGTGCAGTCAGAAACCAAACTGAAATTAACAAATGCAGAGTGTAATTTTGACCTAACCGAAATTAGTGGAAAATTTCTCACTCATTTCAATAAAACTAGCATTTTACCATTTTTTTTTATTTTACTTTACTGGATCCAGTGGTGTAGCTGAGGGTTAACAACAGTTAAGTGAGGTTGCCCACATCTAATTGCAGAAAAATTGCATTTTGCCAGTTTTTCTTTGATCAACAGGTAGCTTACTTCTCTTTTCCTTAAGCTGCTATCTGGATCCTATCTTGTGAAAGCATAAATGTTGCTAGTAAGGGAATACATAGATCATATCACACTATCTACAGCTGTGAATTGTTTTTCTTCAGCAATATATTGCTTCTGACCACAACCAGAGCACAAATGCACTTTTTTGGTACCACTATTCCCCTTTGCTTACCTGTATGTGCCATGTTGCCTGGCTTTTTTCTGTCTTCTTGCAGTGAATCGTAGTGAGGGTTTTTAAATTTACTGATTTAGGTTCCACCAAAAATTACCTTTCTTTTTATTTTAAAATCTTAAAGAAACTCTCAGATATTTACTGAATTTCCTTCTTTCTTACCTAGAACTGTTATTTGTGTTCCTCCTCCGAAATGTAGTTTATCTGTTCCAGAACACACTATCTTAATGCCTCTCCAAAACTAACATCCTCAAATCTCTTCCCCCATTACTCTGTCCCTTTTCCACCATAACCATTCGGTAAGTCTATGTGTGAGCACAAGACTGGTCAGGATTCTTTTGGTAGGCTTAATGAATGCAGCCTTTTTCACCAAGTGTTCTTATAGGTTATATTTTACTTAACGTGTTCCAGAAAGAGCTGGAATTATTTTTATATTCCATTCTGCTCTGCAGTTCTTTGTCGTGTCTACTTGAGCTTTATAGAGTATGAACAATGAGAAATCCTATATTTTCCTGGGGAGATGATTCTTCATCTGCATCCACAGACTTCCCTCTGTATTTACCAGTGCTGCACTTCCAGAATCTTGCCTTTGGCACAACTTAACACAATCCTCTCCTGACTCTCACTTACCTAGAACTGACACTTTTGTTCCTTCTCCAAAATACAGGGTATTGGCAGAGCACAACCTCACAGTGCAACAACAAAACTGCTCACTCCTGTTCTGTGCTGCTCTCCATGTTAACCCTTCAAATACCATTTTTTGCAGAGTAGTAGTTCAAGGTGAGCTGAGAAGAAAGTGTATCAGTCTATCAAGATGGTAGTTGGACATTACATATTCTGCCATTTTTTTCTAGTGATGATTATGATTACAGCATACAAACGACCCCCCCACGTCTCTGTCTTTAGTAAAGAACTTCATTGCCTATTGCTTTGACTTCACTGTCCTCATACATTCTAGAAATCACCGGATGTACTCTAAGATCCATCCTCCTTCATTTGGACCCATTTTCACTTACTTTGCCTTCAGCCTCCACCAACTTGCCAATTGCTTATGAATATCTGTGCATCCATCTCAGTCCTACTTCATCTGTCTTCTTTTTTCATGGACACACTTTCCTTTTGCATACGACAGTGGGAGATTATAGGAATAAGGGGGAATCAGAAGGATTGGTTCATTCTGCTGGTCATCTAATTCTAGGCCAAAGATTTTGTCAGGTATAGGGCTCATTTGTAGTGGAGCTCAGCCAGTAGACTCAGTGAATACTGGGTAGAGCCCCTGGGGACTTTTTCATTGTAGAGGTATTGTACATTCTCTGACTTGACTTGAGGCCTCTTCTTCTTTGCTCTTCTCTCATCCTTTTCCCTCTCCATTTTCTTCTATTAATCTTGCTTGCTTGCTAGTTTTATGCATAGTTTTAGTAATCTGACAAATTAACAGCAAGTGGTCTATTTCTTTGACACTCTCAGAAGTAAAAATGATCTATTGCTATGACCTTTTATTATGATCAGTGCAAATGTGGCAAAAATTAGTTATGAAAATTATGACTGCAATTGTAAGATGGATCACTGCCCTCATTGGTACATGGAATAACTTTAAACATCATTGGGCTAAGATAGATAATAATGGTTTATAAAGAAATGGCTGTAAAAGAAAAATCTTCTAAATAGGATTTCTGGGTTTCCTTTGTTTTATTTCAAACATACTTTATAAACAATATTTTCCTTTAACAGTCAGCCTGGTCCCTCTTCCAAATGACAGTAGCTCTCTGTAAGCACAGCTAATTTTTCTATTGCTAAAGTCTTCAGAACAGCGGTCCAAATGGCTATGATTGCTACTCTGCATTATCTGAATTTGTTTAAATGAGAAATCAGATGAAATTTCCTCCCTTAGAGGGAAGCAAATGCTAAGACTTTTTGTGAATTATTGAGGGGCATTATATTATTTAGCAGAAGATACTAAAAATGGCTCCTTTTGTTCACATGTCTTGGGAGTTTGAAATCCACAAAGACATTTTGTAAATAGTTTCTCAGAAAACAGTTCTTCCTTTTCGGTTGGAGCAGCCATGAGATTACCTAAGTAACAGTTGAAATCAGAACACCAATCTGATTGCTCAGTATGGTATTTTCTCCTGTTTGAAGAGTTTTGAAGAGAGGGATGGAATGAAAAACACAGAACAGGAAAAATTATTCCTTTTTATGGGCTCTGTACCCATCTATCCCCTAGAACTGATATATTTTTATCATAATAATGGTAATTATGATAATGACATCAAGAAAGGTGTAACACGGTCTCCTCATATCAGTTGTCAGATCCTTTTCAAAGAAGCAAATGCGTTAACTGACAGGTGACTTACAATCTAGTCACTGAAGCAATTAATTTTTCTTACCTACCACAGTGAGCCTCATGCCCTGACCAAACTCAACTCCAGAGTACAAACATGGTGATAGGTACAGCAGCTACACTCACCATCCCGCTCCTGAAAGGAGTCTTCTCATCTAGCTAGTGTTCTGTTCCTTTCTCTACCATCCTTGAATACTGCATCTTATTTTGGTGAAAAATCAGCCCATTTTTTACTTGCAGATGTGTGAGGATTTGGTTAGATGATAGATATAAGAAATGGAAGATTAAGGTCCTCCTTCTTACCAGTCACACAAGCAAATCTAATGGAATATATTCTAAGGCTTTGCCCCTTGCTCATTTTTCTGTACTGTTTTTAAGTGGGAATGGAAAAGTGTCAGAGTAGCTGTGTTAGTCATACTGAAAAGTTCTGCTAGACCTACTTCATTTCTCTGAAGAGTGAATGTCAAAGGAAGACTAAGATTAATGAAAGTATGTAGTAGTTACTTTCCTAAAACGCACTCATATCTCCATCAGTTTAAAGTTCTGGGACACAGACTGAATAGTTAGCTTGTCTGATCTCACACTGACTCTAGATAAACTTTTAGTTTCCAGATATGCTTAGTTACGGAGACTTCTTTTCCTCCTTTATGTCATTAGACATAGATTTAGCAATTGCT